CAATGCGATATCATGGGTATTGTTGTGTTATAACCTCTGGGTATACATGTATGTATAAAATTATATAACTTATTATTTTATTATTGTAAAATCTGTATTAGAAGCCGCATTCCTAATAGAAGTTGCAACCATGATTTCTCATATGTGTAGATGCTCTAATAGAAACCGCATCCCCTCTGTTGCGTTGTACATGTACAATTTAAATAGAAGCCGCGGCTTCTGAAACAGATTTTACAATAATTTTTTTGTTCTTTTAAATCTTTATAACATGAGTCAAAATAATCTTTGTTGCACCAAATGTACAACATTGATCTGGCTTGGCTTAAAGGATAATTTTAATAATACAATGATTTTATATTGCAGCAATATTCATGCATACATACATATACATGTAGGCCATATAACCAGAGATATTCTCTATAAACTTTATTTACTTTTGGATTTTATTTTCACCGAAGAGATGGATAGTTCAATGAAAATAAAATTCACTGAATATACAGTGTACCTTTATTCCTATATTTTACACACATTTTCGAAAATCTGTGAAAATAATATCCATACAAAAATTAGTTCAAGCTAAAATAAAGTATTTTACAGTAACCCTTTAATTTTTTGTTTAATGCCACAGAGGCCATTTAGCTCAGAAGGAAATAAAATATCTGATGCCCTTTTGTATGATTTCTATGAAAAAATAAGACCACCAACCAAAATGATTGTCAGTTTGATAAAAAATAACAAAACAATAGTTTAAATAGGGGATAATAAATGTAACATACATTAATATATTTATCGCTTTCTCTTCAAGCTCAATTCACCTATGTTTATCAAGCACATTAGCACACCATACTGGATCAAATAGACTTATTGGGCTTAACATGATAGTATGGAATTTAGGAGTACATAGAATTTGGAGCATCAATCAAAATGAAGTGAATATGTGACACAAATGTGATCAAAAAGCATGAATAAATGGGTAAATAAATGCTTTCAAAGGACTATATGATATATGCAGCGATAAAAGCATACCACAAATACATGACCGTAAAAGAATTGGAGGTGTGAATACAAAAAATGACAGATTGCGTGAAAGTTACACTGAATCCGATAGCAACCAATATTAGAAGTGTAGCTAAGAGTAGATTGTCATCATTAAATCTCAGTGTGTTAAAAATTGGATTCACTCCATGAAGCTTTCACACTTGGTAAGATATATGCTATAATAAATCATGTGTCATTATAATGTCAGCACGATAACATCATTTATCTGTAATTACCATGTGGGTAATCTGAAATAGTTTCTTGTTTAATAGCAAGAATCAGATCTACATGACATAGATAAACACATGTACCTATCAAGCAAGGACAATCCTAAACTAAGTGACTATGTAACCCATGGTTACCTGGAAAAACACTATTACTACAGTAAATGCAATTTTAAAATTAAGCAAATATGAGAATACAAACATGTATAGCATTTGTCATGACATGCACCTCCCCATCACCACCACCACCACCACACACAAATTACATCATACAATAACACCCCTCTACTAACAATAAAGTGCAAAGCATCTTACCTCCTGTTAACATGAAGCGACAATAAACGCATGAAATAAATGAAAGAAAAATATGTTATTTCGGCAGCAGTTAGTTGCAAAATCTTTAGTAAGCCAAGAATATACTAATTCATGCCTAAGTACAGTGTTAGTTATATCCTATTAGTCCTTTATAATAAAAATAGTAATTATTTGTTCGTAAAATGAGCCATTCACTAAATTCTGTAGTTATAATGTTTGTGAAATACAAGTCTCACAACTTGTCACTAATTTTATCAGGACATCCAACTAAGTACAACATTTTCCATGTTTGAAGGTGGATATACATGTAGTGGCAACACACATTAAGAGTTAATTTATGAATTTAGAAGAAATACGCCTAAAATGTACCAAATTAAGTCTCATGAAAAATGATTCATTTATTCAAATTCTATTTATAAATATTTATAAAAGTTCAATGCGAATCAGCGTTCTTAATTCCCTGAGATTCCGAAAACTCAGATGCTTGGTAATGTTTGTAAAGTCTGACCCGAATATCCTGCGAATAGTGAGGAATACTGTAATATTTGACATAAATATCATATTCTACTTCATACATCAGTGGTTACAAACAATAAAATCAGATAATATAAATTTCATTTGTTAAAACACCATATATGGTACAAATGTATGTCATACGTGTTCAGCGGATTGGATTAAATATAGCATACAGGAAATTCCCCACTCTCGTGCGTTGACAGACTACTGACAATGTTTATATGATTTTTAAAGGATTTTCATCCCATCAATCAAAACCCCACACTGTTGATGTCATAACATATTACTAAGTGGTGTGGTTAGGTATTAGTGTAGTGGTCTATAGCAAATGCGATATTGCATAGATTATGCACTAATGTCTGGTCGCTGCATGCAGCTTGCGAATTTTACCAAATAACATCTCTAAAATTAATTGTAATAATAGTGGTTTTCCCGAACTTTTAGGAAATCTTGTGGTACTTGTGAAAGGTGCATGCCGAAGGTCTGCTGCAAAAATCAAAAGATTTGATTTTCAACTTGATTTTTTCTCTTTATAGTTCTATGTAGAATTAGCAATTTTTTTTAAAAGGAGATTGCATTGAGATACATGTACCTTTACTTAAATGAAATTGACTAATATGAAATGTGTATAGTGTATTATGAGGTAATTATGATACTGCAAAGTTTGCATGAAGACAGTAAGGCGCAGCGAAGGTCGATGCGAAAGTGTACTGTCTGAGTGCATACTTTGAGGTATCCTCGTAATGACGTTATTATTATACATTATTATACGCAAAATTACGGCAAAATTATGGCGTTACGGTTACTGATGTATAATAATACATGTATGAAATATGAAAATCCCCCAAAATTAACTTCATGTTTTTTGAATCACACACAATGTTTTGACGCCACTACAACACAATAACCATGTTTCTGTCCTGATTTTACGTTTGACGATGTACATACATTGTAACACAGGATCTCTAGAATTTCGGAAAATGGTTCATTGGAGATTATATAAGGGAATAGTAGACATACATGTAAGTAGCAATAAAGCCTATTCAATGAATTATGTATTTTTCAGGAAATGAATATATAGGCAATTTACGATTGGTCCTCGAAGTCTGAACTTTTGACGTCATCAACTAACAATCAGAAAAAAGCAAAGATATACTAGTAATCTGGTGACACAGCAACTAATTAGTGAATTAAAATAAATCAGTTTCAGACATCAACCAAAGTGTTTTTTTCCCATTTACATGCAAGATAAGAAGTCGTGCAAGCTTGAATGGTTTTAGTGTCTTTGTATTTGCTCTATTAGAAGCATGGCGGCACTATGATGATGGCGCAGTTATTATAATAGCACAACTTGTTACGAAAGACTTCTAGAGCTTCAATTCGAATGCTTCCTTCATCGCCAACATTTAAATTTGGTTACAACAAATTGTCACTTTCACTACCAATGGTTGAGAGTAATTTCAAACCAAAGATTATAGTCATTATTTAAAAAACATATCATCACCCAAAGAAAGATATTAAAATATATTGTCTTGTCATATTGTATAGAAAACTTCATAGTATTAGGGACGACGTCAAAAGATCAATGTCGGATAAAAAACTTAATTCCTTTAGTTTTTTTTAAAACCCCCCCAACCCCCCACTGAAACTTAATTGATAAATATTGGTCATGGCATCAGACTACATTCACCATTAAATACAAATTGATAATCTGACAGTAGTATGGCATAGCAGTTGGTTGTCGAGTGGGTGTAAAAAGACCAAACCATTTTCTCGTCTTGGATGTTTGTTTTTTTCATTTTCTGTTATTTCTGTCCATGATTGGATAGAACTACAAATACTCCAAGATTTTTTTGACTTCATTTAAAAATAAAATCGTTTTTGTAGCATGGAAACTTTTTGAGGTCAAAACCCCCTCACCCCCAATCTAAAGCAATCGACATCGACCTGTGACTAAAACAATTTAATAAATTAGCAGAAACCTAATGATTGGTGCAACTCTGGACGTAACTAATCATATCAGTTCATAGAGAAAAAAATCAATATTACCCCGGGTAATTATAGATAATTATTGCATAAGTGTTGCAGAAATGTACAGAAATGAAAATATACAATACAGTCTTAACAGAGTCTTTGGAATTTTTATTTTTTTTATTTTGCTATACATGCAAATTTTTCAGATATATTAAAATGTGATATCGGCATTAACCAATGTATATTATAGAGTTGATACTTTAAGGAAAAAGTAAAACATCTCCTAGTCAATTAGAAAATTTCTTTGCGATTTTTTTTATAATTCTGGATAAATAAAGCAATGTGTCAAGCGCTACACTAGTCATGGATATTTAACCATTTCACCACCAGACTTTCTCGCCCAAATTTTTCTGCACATTTTTTTTTATTCTTCAATATTTCTGGAAATGAACCTTAATTTTCAAGCCAACGGACAAAATTTGAGTCAATTTTCAGTTTTTATGAAAAAAAATTGTCTATTTTCGTCCTAATCTTCTGAAAGAAATTGCAGACTATAAATGGGACAATTTTATGAATTTGTGACGAAAAGAGGAAACTGGTGGTGAAAAAAAACAAAACAAAAACAGGCCATAGATATATATGTAGAAATAAACAGTTCAAGTTTTTGTCCTATCATAAAACATAGGTGATACGATAAAACATGTTCTAACCTCCTGCATACAACTGGGAATCCACTTACACTCTGAAAACTGTATTGATCAATCTTATGAACATTTTTTTTTTACATGTATTGCACAATGTACAATGACTGTGTTAAAAGCAATTCAGTAAATGACACAAATCTTTTCTCTTTCGATGCATACCACTGATTCACATGAACCATGCAGTGCGTGCACACAAGAATAAAAATACATAATTAAGTACATTACTTACCCCTTTAGTTTGCTTACTGTTAATAAAAACATAGTACATGACAATGTTCCAGCAAAGAAACAATGCAGCACCAATTATGTAAATCTTCCTCCACCTCATTGTAATCATTGTTGGACACTGATCAGCGGATTACTGTATAACCATGATGATGTAATTTAAAGCCAGAAACCGTTCGATGATATTATAAAACTATAACGATGAAATGTGTACAAAGTCTGGAATAAAAACAATTAGTGTTAATCATGATTGTTTCACTGGAGTGTTCATACCAGACATCAAACCTTTGCCTCATGCTTAAATATTTTGTCCCAGGGTTTTTTTAATCATGAGACAAATTGTCTCACAAAAACGTAAGAAAATACAAGTGACAACTCATAAAATGTCCTAAATATAGTGTAACTTAGCGTAACTCATATCAATTTATCTACAAATAAGATGACCCCCCCCCCCCCCGTCCTCCATCTCCTCCAAGGTTAAAAGTTTAAAAACTTTCTGCTTTATTGTAGATATCAGAAATTCTGATAACATATCAATTGGTCTGGAAGTGAACAGTACTTGTTATGTATAAGTAAATAATTAAACATGATTTAGACAATAGTCATGCAGAACACAACACATAACATACAACTTCTCACTGAAATTGACGTGGACAATGATGCTTGCATAATTTCGATGATGATTTTTAAAAGTAACTTTTAATCTATCCAGAACAAGTCATCAAACGTGAAACCAACTTTAAAGGGAAACCGGTCAATCCCATGGATTGCACCAAGTGCTCATGGGTAATTAACTCTGCCTCTGTCCACTAAGTAAATGAATGCTTATCTTTCCCCCTGTCCCGCTAATCCCACAAATCAACAACTGATATAAACATCCTTTGAACGGATTACAATTTGCTTGTTTAAATATAACATAACAATTGAATTTCAAACCAAGTACACGTTATTTGCGTCAAATACAGAGCTAGCTTCATCTGCCATGATTTGAAACATCGCGTGCTCCTAAATATATACATCGACGGGCAAATATAACGCGAAACTAGAATCATTCAAGTTGATGATAGCTCACCAGATATTAAACACAAAACAAGTTTATTTGTCTGTTTTCATTGCATCGGTCTATTGACAGTACTAATCTTGTATACATTAAAACTGAGAGCGAAACTTATTACACGGAAATTCCCCGTGATAAAATAACAAAATCATTAGTAATATATAGCTTGTATCTCGTGTGAGATTTGAGTTCTTGTGGTCTGGCAGGCGAACGTGGGGTTGAGTTTACAGACAAAATCATTTGAATGGCGAGAAAGATGAGCGTGTTTAGTCAAAACAATTTTAACGTCCAATCTACAGCGTTGTAATTATTACAAAGTCGACGTTGTTTCAATATATGGCGCGACTACAACTACTGGTTATGCTGCCAAAACAAATATATCAAGCAATATCAAGTGTCTTGAACAGACATCAGCATCAAACGGCCCTTTTCAGGGCCAAAATAAGAATCCCAAAACAGAATATAAATATACACACACACACACTTGATTTAATTTTCTTGACATATATGCAACACATGAATGAAAATGATCTATTATAAAAGATATGACTGCCTGTGACGTGTTGTCTGGACACCGTTTCGTCCTGCAGACAAATACAGAAACAAAAACTGACTTATTTTCTTGTGCCAGGACTTGGTTGTTCATGCATTTCATGCATGGCGTATTTACTTTATGTACTCTGACACTGATTTGTGCTGTGGAAACATTTAATTTCACGGTTTTGAGCTGTCCAAGTATTTCGTGAAAAAATAAAAACAAAAAGGTAACACCGCATGAAACAGTCTGCCAATGTCTTGTTGATATCTGAAATTTGCAACCTCTAACAGAACGGTTATTTCCTGCACGCCTACCAGTATTTAGTACACAACTACCATTTGCAGCTCACTGCACCCCTCATTTTTTTCCAGACGGTCTAGAAAGTTATACTATAAGTATCAACCCTTAGAAAACACAAGTGTTTGCCATACGATCAAAAGGAAAAATGTCCATAAACTAATAACCAACATCGTTTTGGCCATACGAATCAGTTCAGTTCATCAAAAAAAAAAATCACCTGGTGACAAAACACACTCAACATAGTTAATGTAATATGCATTTATTTTTTTTATTTTGTTGGTAACTAAAGTATATGCTAAAAGAAGTTTCAAATAAAAACGAACACAACTGTATCGCTTAGTAGAAAATGATCACGGTAGCGCAATCCGATCATGCTGCGTTTCACAATTGATTATTACTTGGTAGTGATTATTAATAAGGTACAAAAACTAAATTCGTCGAAATGTTATGAAATGCAAGTAAAATTCAACATAGTTGCATCATAAGCGAATGATTCCGGTCGCATGTAAATGCTCGATGCGATACTTTGGTCAAATCGCTAATCAACCAATCAAAATACTGGGTGATGCCAACGTGTTCAAATTACCATAGCTCATTCAACACGGAAGAGATGTTCTAGTACAATTTTTTACATTTGATTTTGATAGGAGAACGTCATGATTTGTTAAAAAAAATTAGTTGTTTTCAAAGATAAACTGAAGATTTGAAGACTAATGTAACATTATTTATGGTGATAACAGCTCATTGTCGAAACGAAGACAATAAACATCGTACTCTTGGAGAGGTGTCAATGATTACGGTAAAACTTGTAAGATCGTGGGTCAGGGGCGAGTGTTGTTTTGACTTAGGTATTACGTTTTGCATTCCAACAGGACATTTTCATGGTTTTAATTTCGCGCTTTTGGACTCACCGCAAAATTAAAAGCACGCGAATAATTTCTACTTCTACAGTTATTGAAATGGGTATCCGAGGGCCCGTAACCTAATGTTATTGACATTATTTACTGTTTTATATCGTCATGTCCCAGTGTTACCGATGCTTAGACCACAGGCAAACCATGTAACGATAATGCTGTTTGTAAACCAACAAGCTTTGTAGATTAAATAAACATCTAGGGGATTTACATTTTCTTTTACTCAAACTGTGGTTGACAGGCATTTTGCATATATTAGCCGCCATTTTAAACTCGTAATTTTTACTTGTCGTGACGTTTCGACCGAAAACAACACAATTTATACATCAAAAGCCCAACCAGATGAGTGTAATCGTTAGCGTACATATTCATGCTCTTGTGGATATGTATTTGGAACCACAGCTTGATCTCCAAACATCGTAAATGGCACATTTCACGGAGCTCCCGCCACGATGTAAGCGGCTTGGTTCGGATTAGCATACTAATACGGTGGCCATCTTGCCCCTTATTTATAGTATCGGTTCTCCTTTAAGCTATCCATCTCTTTAATGACTCAACTATTAACAAGTCATCCCTGTTGGTTTAATAAGTAAGCAAAATTGAAATGAGCCAGCCATTTTGAAACAAAAAATGAAATGTAGTTGTCAAATTTGATTGCAATTCCCATAGTTATGGTCCTGTACCAAGATTTACAATGGATGTCTGTGTAACTAAGATCTGGGTCGTAATGGCAGAAATGCTACGATTCAGTCAACATATTATCAAACCATTGAGATGCATACGTGTGAGATCATGTATGACTAATACACTCAAACTGTACATGTACATATAAAACATGTTTTTGAAATGCTCTCATCCCTTGGCTATTACATGTGCATGTATCACCAACTGTTCATCGTCTAATAACCGCTGGACTGAATTAATGACATTATCAAAAATTCATAGAAGATTTGGTGAATATCAGTTGTTTTTGACTTGATTTTCCAGGACGCAGATGTTTTGATGTTTTCAGTTGCTTTGAGCTTGTTGTGTATAAATAGTCAATGTAAATAAAAAATGTAAATACAATATTTGCGAGAAACAAAAATCTTGCAGCATCCCCCTCCCCATGGACAGTCCCTAATATTGCAAAGTCACCAGTTGTGACTTTTAAATCTTATTTATTAGGATTCCTACATAAACTTAAAGACATAATTATGCTTTCTTTTGTCCTGATTACATAAATTCTCTTACTAATATTTTATGGGTATATTTGTAAGTGTACATGTACATGTATGTAACATGCAAAGTAAACAAAATTATCCAGATGATTTTAAATTTGTTAAAAATGAGCCAAAATGCTCTGACACTATACTTTTTGGATCTATTTGATGGTTGGAATTGCAAGCCAGTTATAAAAGTTCAATAAAATTATGAACATATATTTTTCGAGAATATCCCCAATCGTAATAAAATGCCCATTGCGAAGTGTCATGTGTATACAACATAAAATTTAAACATAATACAGTACTGTAACACACACAGTATTTTGTTTCATGATATCCCCAATCGTGATAAAATGCCCATTGCAGAGTGTCATGTGTATACAACATAAAATTTAAACATAATACAGTACTGTAACACACACAGTATTTTGTTTCATGATATCCCCAATCGTGATAAAATGCCCATTGCGGAGTGTCATGTGTATACAACATAAAATTTAAACATAATACAGTACTGTAACACACACAGTATTTTGTTTCATGATATCCCCAATCGTGATAAAATGCCCATTGCAGAGTGTCATGTGTATACAACATAAAATTTAAACATAATACAGTACTGTAACACACACAGTATTTTGTTTCATGATATCCCCAATCGTGATAAAATGCCCATTGCAAAGTGTCATGTGTATACAACATAAAATTTAAACATAATACAGTACTGTAACACACACAGTATTTTGTTTCATGATACATGTACCATACAACTATATCTCAATAATTGTGATTCATGACCAACTTCATAAAAAAAATGGTTTTACCTTCAGGAGATACAGCTAGACAAAAAATTTTATGAAAATGGCTGTCAGTTGGCTAAATTTTGATGAAAACAAAAAAATAACTGAAAACAACATTTAACCCATTATATCTTTGTACAAAACCTAAATCTGTACAATCATCTCTGTAAAATGAGCAGAACACTTGTAAAAACAAAATGGCCACCAGTCCACCATTTTTAATTGAATCACAAAGAAAAATGACATACATCAGTAACCCACCACGACTGATGTCAATGCCTAGTTTGAATGAAATCAGTCAAGGCATGCCCCAAGAAACGATTGATGAAATGTTCAAATGTTGATTTTTGATGTTTTTTTTTAAAAAAATGACCGCCAGTCAAACAAAGGTCAACCAAATCAAAA